AAATCATGAGGTTGAACGCAAAGTATATTTAGTTCTAGCATGATTAAATGTATGGATGGAATTACCAGAAAGTAAAACATACGATACATTGTACTTAGTGTTTGTTTTATTCTCAGAATCACAAATGCAATTTGCTTGACTGAAAAGCAAAACTTTTGATCGGTTTGACCTTGCTATTACAATACTTTTGGAGGGCGCTGTATACTGTTTGTATTTCCGGGGAGATCAAAATCAAGTTAAAGCTGAGGCAGTGGAACACACGTGCTCAGATATAAATCTTCGGGATGCAGCTGGAGAACCTCCTGTTTATCAGATGCCCGGTTTCCCAGTCCATGTACAAATGATCCCCCCACCTTGGACCACCTTGTGAGGAACCTTTAATGGAGATTTCAGTAAAGTGGACCTGGTGGGTTAAAACTGTTAACGCACTGGAAATGGACGTTTTTGCCCTGTCGTATGATCATACCGAACACATTTACAGGAAGGAGTTTGCCATCTTATTATTTACTGCTGAATAGCCTGAAAGTGGCCATCATCTCGTAGAGCATGGAGGCTGACATAGCTTACATTGACCACTTCACAAACAGCACTGTACATGCCACTCACGGTACCCTGATGGTAACCCAAGGTGATTATCCTCTCTGAGGCTAAGCAGTATAGTGGTGTAATAGCGACCTCTGCTGCCTCACAACTCCAGGATGTTGACTTTGAATCTGGGCTGGGAGGCTTTCCGTGTGGAGACTGCATGTTGTCATGTGCTCATTGTGTTACCGTTGGGTCGTCTTCTACCTTCCCAAGACATGCTGTTTAGGGTAACTGAAGCCTCTAAATTGTCCTGGCTTGTGTGTGTATATGTGTTTGTTTGCGCGCGCGCACTCAGTGATACACTGGGTTCCCATCCAGGGGGCGATGAACACCTGCACCTGACCACCAGGGGGCAATGAACACCTGGACCTGAACACTGGGCCTCTGGGATGGGCTGTGGACTGTCCCCAGATGACCCTCACCAGGAGTAAGAAGTTTTCTGAAAAAGGATGAACCTGCGAGTTTGCAGCTTTGAGGTTTTTTTTTTTAAAAAAGAAATCTGGTTTGTATCTCTAAAATGAATGCCGAGATCAAGAAAGGCATGGCAGTAATAACAGATCTGCTTGTTCACCGAAACCCCCCAGGGCTGTGTACTCAGCCCGCTCCTGTTCACCCTGATGACTGATGACTGCACTGCTCAACACAGTGCAAATGACATCATCAAGTTCGCTGATGACACGACAGTGGTGGGCCTCATTAGCAACAACCATGAGGCACCATACAGAGAGGAGGTGGAGCAACCAGCGGACTGGTGCTTAAACAACAATCTGTCTCCGAATGTCGATCAGACAAAGGAGATGATCATTTACTTCAGGAGGGCCTGCGCTGATCACTCCCCACTGCACATCAACGGCTCCCCTGCAGAGACAGCTGGAAGTACTAAGTTTCTTGGTGTGCACATCACAGATGACCTCACTGGGACCATCAACACCACCTCCCTAGCTAAAAAAGCACAACAACGTCTCCACTTCCTGCGGCGACTGAGAAGGGCAAGGCTTCCTCTCCCCCCATACTGTCCACATTCTATAGAGGTACAGTACCATCGAGAGCATCTTGACAAACTGTATCATTGTTTGGTTTGGGAATTGTAAGGTCTGAGACTGCAAGTCCCTGCAACGAATTGTCAGTACAGCAGGAAACATTATTGGAGCCTCCTCTTCTGTCCATTCAGGACATCTGCCACAAACGCTGCACACACAAAGCCTCCAGTATTGTGGACGTTCCCTCCCACCCCTCCTGCAACCTCTTTGCCCTCCTACCATCTGGTGAAAGGTATCCCAGTGTACGGGCCAGCTCCACCAGACTCCGAAACAGCTTTTTTTCCACAGGCTGTCAGGCTCCTCAACACCCTGGTACCTACTGCACCTACTCCAAATCTGGAATCTTAGTTCTGTTTTGCCTAATTTCAGGCATACTCACTGATGTATTTTTTGCACAATCCTATCAAGTCAATTGCACTAGGCACATCGGACTTTATGTACCCTGTACCCTGTCAGAAATGTCTATGTCTACATTGTCTATAGCGTTGTCTTCTCAGTGTCCTGTCTGTATTCGCACCATTGACCTGGAGAACTATATCTCCCTCCTCTGTTTACTTGTATATGGCTGGAATGACAAATAAACATGAACTTGAACTTCTTGGAAGGGAGGATCTCATGCTGAATAAATAAGCCACACCAGTGTTTACTTTTTTAGCTGTTATTTTATTTAGCTTTCCCTCACAGCTCACGTCTAGACAGCAAGACCTGTTTTTCACTTCATAGCCTGCATAAACTCTCTCTCAAGGAGAGGACATCATACCGAGTAATGAAACGTGTTTTTGCTTTATGTTTCCTGGCACGGTTCCTTCCAATTTTATGATGTTAGGCAATAGGAGACTCCCTTCATCCAAGACAGAAATGCAGCACCCACCAGGAGAACTTGGCAAAATGGGAAACAGCTTGACCAACTGAATTAATGGGGAAACGTGAGTAAGACAAACTGCACAGACACAATGTGGGATTAAGGCAGGACAGTGGGGTTAACACTCAACACCACCATGGGGTCTTTAATGACCAAGTGGACAGGACCTTGATTGAACTGAAGGATGGCTCCATAACAGCACAGTGTCATCCGTCACAATACTGGGGTACTGGTTTAGAAATTGTGGCTGAGAAGTACAGCAGCAGCCCAGCTCTCCTCTGAGGTCTCAGACCACCCTTGGAAACTAAATCCATTTTAATTGAAAATGAACAGCAGAATTACCACCTTGTAGCCTGATCTCCTCAGATCTCAGAAGCTAAGCAAGGTTGGGCTTTTTTTTCCATCTGTTAAAACCAGCGAATAAAATATTAATCGTCTATTAAAAATGACATAAATAAGTAGGTTGTTAACATTTAGAGATGCACGGAAACATACAATTTGACCAAAGGTTTGCACACCCCTGTTGTTACCCAGCATCGTTTTTAGACGAAATGAGTTGACATCGAAAAAAATATTTATCTGAACAATAGAAACGCAGTGTTTTCGCAGAGTAGGCTACCTTTTCAAAGAGTTCAGGTGGGGAGCCGCGTCAGCATGCATAGGCTGCAAAGGAACGAGTAATAGGTTTATTCCATGCTGAAAAGAGAAGAAAGAAAACACTGTGTTTTCTTTCTTCTCTTTTCAGCATGGAATAAACCTATTACTTGTTACTTTTTCAAATGACGAGCATCATTTCTAAAGGTGAGAGGAATGCTCTGGGAATTTGTCGCTGGGAAAACCCCACACAACATTTTCTGAGCAAAACGCCTGGGAGTGCAGTTTAATCCCATTACACACGACGCCGTTGACTTGCTGCCTCGGCATCTGTACGGTTTCGCTATACGTGGCCTTGTTAATGTTGAACTCACTGTAAAGACTTCGCCCGTAGTTTCGGCGGCAGGTCTGCTTCCTCAGCTGCACAGGATGTGTCTCATTCCCCCTGTTTTACAAAACTACTTCCGGATGTGGGCGGCTGCAATGGAGACCAACCGAGTAACAGTTTCTTTTTAGCCTCGTCTCTCTTTCACCCTCCCTGCAGCCATGGGAATTAAAAGCGATCGTTGGTGATAGATTATTTCACGTATCTGTTGTTGTTTTTTTTAAAAAAAGAGAAAACAGGAAATCAAGTTTCTTTACAATCGGTAGTCCACTTTTTGAGGAAGCCTGGTTACAGTTCATCCGCGATGTTGACATCCAGCCGAGATTCGTGCGGGGTCGTGTTTGTCACCATCGCCGAAATGAGACTACTTTTAACTTCCTTATTGCTCGTAGTTTCTCTCTGTTGGGTGGACGGTGCCAGGAAGCCCGTAGAAGTCGAAAAAGTGGAAAATGACCCCGAACTGGGTGAGTAGATGCTGGTCGGAGCAGTTTTGTCTTCCTTGGCTGAACTCGGGCCCGTTTTATTTTGGGTTGCTCGGCACGGCAGATGAATGGGATCGCGCAATGGGGTAGAAATGTTGCTCACGCAAAAGCGTGCTCTTGAACTTGAAAACAACTTTATTTTTTGAACTGATGATGCTGATCGGTGTCCCCAGTCTATAACTTTGTAACTGAAGCCAGGTGTTCTTAACCACGCACGCTACTTTGAAGCATGAAACAGGATGTTTGAAACGTTTTGCTGCGGTTTCGGTCCTTTTGGAAGCATATTTTTACGTTTAAAAGTTTAGGAAATCAAAACCCGGTGTCACTATTTGCTAAGGTTTCCTTACTCAGGTTTCAATATTGAAGTCACTGCCAACACTGATAGGACCCCAGCTGGTCTCTACGATGTCAAGTACTGTAAATGTCATTTTGTATTTGAATTCATCCATGTTAGGTTTTAGAAAGGTACAGAACGCATTTCAAGTCCGCAGCAGGTATGCTGGTGAATTGAAATGTATTTTTACACTGCACGTTTCGTCTGTAGCAGTCCTACCACCTCCTAGTCTGCTCTTTTTGACGTTTTCAAGACCTGGCCTCGTCAGTACCGGGGTGGGCGACCTCAAAGGAAAACCAGGAGTGTAGGTGATATGTGACCAGTAGGTGGTGCTCTTCCCCTTGCAACAGAATATCCAAACCATTGCTCCAGTATGGTGACCATTGATGTCCTGGTTTGAAGCCATCTTGGTGTTTGAAGTTATCCCGGCACTGTAAAACAGTAGAGTTGTTAACCCCGGTCTCCGGGCTAAATTCCACTCAGAGTTTCCCATTAAATCAACCAGTGAAGCGATTTTTCACTCGTTACCCTGATGTGTTATGTAGTGTGCTGTCACTCAGGCTGTTCATTCACGGGTGAATGCAGGGGGGGCTTCTCATACATGAGCAGTTCAGGATACTTTGAGAAGAAAAGCGCAATAAATACAGTCACTTATCATTACAGCATTGCTTCCTCTGAAGAAGGAATAGTGTTGCTTGTTAGATCCTGGCTGTATCTCCATCGGAGGATCTTTTCCAAGTAGATTGTGGGTATAAACCACTGACCCTGCGATGGATTCTGGGAGCTTCTTTAAAGAAATATCTGTTGTTATTTCACAGCACAGGAAGGATTCTACTTGCCTGTTCCTCCTAGGAGTGGTTTGTGATGAAACACATACCAGGATTGCGGGAGTTGATGCTTCAGAAGAGCGATTTCTTGAGACTATGAATATTTCTGGTGGCTTCACGTGGTGTTTCGTGAACTACTGTGAGAAACCGGGTCTCTTTTAAGTGCGACAGCATTATGCGGCAGCCATAGTGCACCAGTACACTCGCCACACACCAGCTCTCAGTGGGGAGGAGAACAGTGATAAAGCCAGTCCAGAGATGGGGATGATTAGGAGGCCATGATTGGTAAGGGCCAATGAGAAATTTGGCCAGGACAGCGGGGTTACACCCCTACTCTTTTCGAGAAACGCCCTGGGATTTTTAATGACCGCAGTGAGTCAGGACCTTGGTTTTACTTCTCATCCGAAGGACAGTGCCTTTTTACAGTATAGTGTCCCCGTCACTATACTGGGGCATTAGGACCCACATGGACTGCAGGGTGAGCGCCCCCTGCTGGCCCCACTAACACCTCTTCCAGCAGCAACCTTAGTTTTTCCCCAGGTGGTCTCTCATCCAGGTTCTGACCAGGCTCACTCCTTTGATATAGCAGGTTGATATAGCTGCTGGCTAAGTCAAGTCAGTCTGGGGGCTCACTGGAGACACAGAATAGAGACCCAAAACAAATTATGTGAAGGGTCACTAAGCCCACACGGGCAGCTTCCATTTTCAGCACGTTCTGGGGTGATGAAACATGAGAGAGAGGGACGGGGGCTTAGATCAGTTTCTGCAGTCCTCAAGATGGAAGTCAGACTCAATACAAATCGCAACTCTGACCTTAAATTCTTTTGGTTCCAGTCACGCGTGGCCTTGAACCAGACATGTCAAAATCATAATAGACAATCAGTGGGATAACCTAGTTGTGACGACAGCCATTTTCATAGGCAAACAAGAGACGGTTCTGGACGAGTTAGTGCCTTTTTGCTGTATTCTTATGGACGGTATTTGGAGAGCATAAGTAAATGAGAGATCTCAAAGATTAAGCAGTCAGCTTTGAATATGCTCTGTAGTTTTCTGGGAATTTATTCTAAAAAAGTGGGGTTCTATGTTAATGCACTTGGTATTTCTTGCTGTGGTGTTTAGTTGTCTGGTGGGTGATGGTCTTAAATAATCCAGTTAGATCTGTGAAGAACTGATTGAGATGATAATCAGGTGTTGAGCAAAAGAGCAAGTTGAGACTGAACAGAGAAGTGGGTTTAAACAGCTGCAGAAAGGCCAAGTGTAGTTGCACCATAAAGTACTGTATTAAAAGGATTTCATTTTCATTAAAGGGAACTATACTGCTACAAATACTCTGAAGTTTAGACATGTGATTTCAAGCTTGTTTAATGGTTTGTGTTGTCATAATAAATTGACTGGCTGAAGACAAATGGAGAGGTTTTTTCCTGGAAAAACAATGACTGGTATTTATTCATCTGTAAAATGGGGAGTGAAAACATGGAGGAGTTCAGAGATGTATGATGGAGTCAGATTATCAGAGCTTTGAAAGTTGGCAACAAAATCTTAAATTAAATAGGTGACTTTATAGGCAACCAATGTAGAGACTTCAGTAACATGTTGACAGGGTCTGGTGGGAGTAAGTCTTCTTGCTGCAGAGTTTTGGACATATTGCAACTTGTTGAGAAGAGAGTTAGGAAGCCCACAGAGTAAAGAGTTAGAGAAACATCAAACCTCGATGTTAGAAATGAATGAACCAGGCACACGAGACACTGATAGAAATGGAATAATAGAAGGGCAGTATTTCTAAGGTGGAATCAGAGCGTTGTTTCACAGAATATCTAATGTGTGCCTTTCCAGGGGCTGACATGGGTACTGATCCCGCTCGCCGGCAGCCTAATCCACTGAGGAGCCGAGCTTTTCATTTCTGTTCTTTAGGCCACTGCTTCCCAAACGTCCGAGTTTAAACACTCAGGAATGTGTGTGGCGAGAACTAAAGATTACTTTGAGTCAAAACACAATCTACAGTTTGAAAGAGAAGTAATTGCCCTCACTTTTCTGAGGAGAATTTGAAATCCGTGCTCGTTGCAATGCACTGTTTAGTTCTGTCAGGGCTGGGAAGAGCCACATGGAGCTCCTGAGTCACACTTAATAAACATCAGGAATTTCTCCTGCCTCCATGGCACAGACTGTGGAGACCTCCCCGCAGCACGTTAGGGGTCCCTAAGTATTCATGTTTAAACCTCCTTCAAAGGTGCCCAGGTAGTGATTAAGGCAAACAGCTCGGGCTTTTTCATGGGTGCAGTGCTAAGTAGGGTCGCAACGAGGGGGCACACGAGAGAAGTGTCTAGCCTTGATGGGTGCCTGCTGTGGAGCAAGGGTGCCCTTCTGTAGGAAGCTGATGCAATTCTGTCCTTTCACCTGAAAGCAAAAAGCATCCCATGAGAGGTCTCGGGACCCGGGCTACAGCAGGCCCCATGCAAATGATTTTGGGATTAAAGATCAAGATGGTGCTGGAATCAAGGTCAGGATGTGGGACAGAGGTGAAGTTGGGATTGAAGATCGGGATGGTGCTGGAATTAAGGTCAGGATGTGGGACAGGGTGAAGTTAGGAAGTTGTGGGCTACAACTTGTAAATTAAGGTAGAATAATTTCTGTTATAATGTGTCTTGATTTCAGCCTGATCACAAAATGTGTTCATTTGGAGAGGGGTCGTAGAATTGTTTTATAGGCACTGTATGTACTGGACAGTGCTCCGTTTACGTGTATCGGTGTGTAATCACAATGGTTTTTACTGACTGTACTTGATTAAACCGTAACAATTTAAAAAAGCAGAAAAATTGTTGTTGCGGTTTATTTCTTCAACCCGTGAGGCAGCGAACAGTGACTGATTTCTGCCTGTGATGTAAAGTCACGCAGCCCGTCAGAGCCTTATGAAGCAGAGTTTTTCTTTGAAACCGCAAATGAAATACACTTGTGTACGACGTCAGTGCTGCAGCCTGGAGGAGTCTGGAACAAGATGCACAGTTGTGTTGTTGAAGCCGGTTCCCTGGCTTTTCCAAGAAACAGGGGGATGGGACCCCTGAATCAGTTAACCTCTAACTACCTGACTACCCCACAAGCTAGAGAGGCTGAAAGGCGCCTGGTTTGTAACCATTCTTATGTCTTTCTGATAATGAGTGTTCCACATGGTTGCCATTTCCTTCTCTGCTTCTGAGCGTCTATTCCTGGTGATGATTATTCAGGGTTTTGATCGTGTTCCAGTATCGCCACTGGCAGTTCACATCGTGCACTGAGCGGGGCCAGGTGCAGACATTTGCCTGGCACGGCTCAGGGGGAATCAAATAGTCCTTTCTAGGTTGTTGTTTTTTTAAATATTATCCTGGCTTTTAAATTATTACATCATCGCGGAAAAACATAATAAAGATTTTCAGTAGCAGGTAAGTCCTAAGTGTTTAAATACGTCATCGTGTTTGTGGTTGGCAGCATGTGCTGTGGTCGACCTGATTTAAGATCGGGGAATACTGGGATCGTTGCGCTCCGCAGCTGCGCTAATACCGGCCTATCCCATTCCCCCAGAATCCCTCAGCAAGGTGCTGTCTAACTACGAGGTGTTGTCCATGTCCAGTGTGCGACGGCACTCTGTGAGGAAGAGAGATTTGCAGCCTGAATCCCAGGTGGAGCAGATGATGAGTTTCACGGCCTTGAACAGGTACTGCTGTGTGTCGTTAGTGGGTGAAACGAGCATCACCGCCTTCCTTTCTTAGAAAACGTTGTAGGGATGCAAGGAGTCACAGCGCGGACCGGTGAAGGTGTGAGGTGAGTTTGATCGTGAAGAAAATGGCCGCTTCCGGAGTACAAGGCGTATTTCCCACAGAGTCAGAGTCCAGCCATGGCCACCCTGTGTTAATACCATGAGTGGGGGGTCTTGATTGACCATTCTCCCCTAGTTGCTATTCCTGATGATGATGATGATGATGATGTTCCCCCCCTTTCAGCTAATTCTGAGGTGCCACCTACAACAGCAGGCGTCAAGCCATGGTCTGGAGTTAGGACCCAGGGCCAGAGTCAGGTTTCTGCAACAGAACCTCTGACAGTGGGGGAAATGCAGCCCGATCCAGCAAAGTTCCTGAAGGACTGCAGAGCTTCTTGTTTGTAACCCTGTAAACTGATGTGGAATTTTGTTCCGGGGGAAGCACTGTCGCACATACAGATGCTCAGTCCCTCGAATTTGGCCTAGAGGACTTGCTTTCGGGCGGCACTAAGCTCAACTAATGTAAACGGAGAGCAGGTGAGCAACAGCTCAAGTAGGAAGGCCAACCTAAAGATCGTCCAAGTTGGTTGCTGGACAATGGGAAGTGGTATGTCTTCCCTCAGCTTAAAACACTCATTTACACAAAGATAAACCTGAAGGAAAATGGCTTTTGTTAAGTTAACCTTGGCTCAGTTCCCTCCCGATTTGAGTTCCGTTAATTAATTAGTCTGCCTGGGTGAGACTTTTCAAAAGTGGGGTGCTTATACACTCTTCTCCTTTGTTTTTCGTTCTCCAGAAATTTCAAACTGTACCTGACGTCAAAAATGGACCTTTTTACTGAAGATTTCAAGGCGGTTGTTGTTGATAAGAATGGGAGAGAAGATGTTTTTGAAGTCCAGAGGAATAACTTCTTCACGGGACATGTAGTAGGTGAGATGTGGTTCAGCAAGCTGAGTGTTTTGGGCCAAGAAGGGACATCTCCGGAGAGGTCTTAGTCATGAAGGTTAATTTAGGAGGCTGTTGAATTTTCTTAAGCACTGAGAACATCCATGCATTATGTTTAATATTACAGATACATTTTGAAGGTGTCGTTTGTCTTTATCCATCCATCTTGCGGGAGAGCCTAGCAAGCAATGGGCCCAAGGCAGGGTCCATCCTAGACGGGACATTAGTCCATCACAGGGCACACACAGACTCAAACATGCACACACAAGGGTCGGTTTCCCAGAATCCAGTTAACCTATCGGTATATCTGTGGATGGTGGGAGGAAACCCACAGGAAGGCGGCGAGAACGTGCACACTCCACACAGACAGCACCTGAGCACCCCAGCTCAGGCCCCCAGAGCTGCAAGGCAGCAATGCTAACTGCTGCACCATCATGCCACCACATTGCACAGGAAATGGGCAATGTGTCGTGCCAACTGCCCCACAGACCCTGGCAGTGTGTGCCCAGCTCTGAAGAGAGCACAGGCCCTTGGTTCTTCCCTGAAGAGCTTTTATTGATGGCTTCTGTCTTGCAACCCTCTTAATGTACTTTTTTGTGTGTTAAGAGCACAGCTGGGTCAGGGACAACCACTCTCTGGGCTTGGATTGCTTGTTTATATGAGCCCTCAGCATTTGGGCTGCACTCAGTAAGAGTTTCCATCTCTTTTCTTTTTTTAATCCTCACTGCTGTATGATTTTCCAGAGGAAAGTGCAAGAGTGGATATTGGCGATACATCCCTGTTATCTGTCAAACCAGCGTTGAGAAGATAATCTTGTTTCTTCAGCTGTTTGACCTAGCCCTCGCACCGATCCGATTTGCAAAAGCCAAAGATGGGTTTTCGGCTCTAAATAACAAAACTAATATTTCTTGTTATAAAGTAAGGGTATTTACACGACCACTGAATTATAACAGTAACGTCTTGCCAAACATAGCTCACCATACAGATTTTGACAGGAACCACAGACACTGAATACTTGTGCGCATCATAGATTTGAATTATTTGCTTAAATTTTTTTCTGGGGACAGTGATACATTTCAGCAGTGATTTAGTGTACCGATACTGTAGAAATAAATTGTAATACCAACAGGTTGTTTATAGTACTGCCTTGTGTCTACATTAATGTTTTAGTTCTCAACATTTCATTTAGTTAGGACACACTGTTACTCTTCCAGGTTATGTTTGCATTGTCCCTTTAGCAACTTTACTTTCACTTATTTTTCCCTAATGTACTTACACTTTATGTGAAGTAGTCTCTGGGTAAAAGCATCTTCTAAGCAAGTACATATTCAGTTCAATTCAAAATACCTATTCATCCCAAAATGGGGGCAATTTAAGCTGCACATTGCAAATAAAACTGGTTACAAAAAACATGGTATCACAACTTTTCTAAGGAAAAAAAATAAAAACCACAGTGTCCCCAAAATGAGTATAAAAGTGACAGATATATTGATCTAAAAAGCTGCAGATACAAGGTATTAGAAAAGTCCATGTTTAAAAAATGCTGTCTTCGATAACGGAGGAGTCTGGGTGTGATGGAGGTGCATGTACCATTTTCTGCATTGTGCTGCTCAAAGCTGTTAATCTCTGGAGACGGGCCAGGCCGATACTGGAGTGTGTTTAAAGGACGTGCACAGGGTGATGCACAGCGTGGCGGCTGTGGGCCTTCAGGATGCAGCGAGTACGGTCCCTTCTGTGACGGCCGTTGTCACGCGCAGCCCGGGTGTGTTTCGCGGCACCGAGCTAACGAAACCTTTGTTCTTCAAAGGGGAAGAGAACTCCCGCGTGCAGGCGCACATCGACGACACCGACTTCATGGCCCGCATTCACACGGATGAAGGAGAGTACATCATTGAGGTACCCCGACCCCCCCCCCCGAAACGACTTCCTTCTGGGCTTTGCGTCATCGTCGCTTTCGGGAAACGGAACGAGAGAGGGGGCCCGGGTTCTGTACCTTTCCGAAAAACCTGGCGGTAAACTTGGCTCTGGTTCCCTTTTTGGCTCCAGCCCCTGTGGAGGTTCACGCCGTCGGCCGCGAACGGCCAGCTGCTGGCGTACAGGACCCAGGACATCCGGGACGTCGCCCACCTGCGCTCCCCTGGCGTCTGCGGGTACGTCCGGCCCGGGGGCGAGGAGCTGCTGCCCGACAAGCTGAAGGAGGCCCTGGCGGAGGACGCGGGCAAGGAAGGTGAGTCGGGGGGGGGGCCTGGCAGCGAGCTTGACACACCTCAAAGCGTTGAGAGACCCCCCCCCTTCAAAAGACAGACTGCGAGACATCACACCCCTGCTACAGTAGCTGATGACTCGATCTGCCGCCTTGTTTAAACTTCTATTGAACTTGTTTGTTCGGTCAGTCCTGAGTCAAACCGGTTTCAAGGGTCTGTTTCCAATAATGGCAGCATGCGGAAATTCATGTGGGGCTCTCCTCCCCGTTTCATAATTTCTGACTGAATATCTCTTGCTAATTAACTGGTTGGTTGATAATGAGCAGACACCGGTGGGAATGAGCCTGTGTCAGACACTCGTACAGTGAGCGAATGTTTTCCCTCTGCTGAGGTCCAGTTGACTCCATCTGTAGAGGCATATCTGAACGAGGGTAGTTCTGAATCTCAGAAATCACAGTGGTACCACACAAATACCACCGAAATAGTGGTATCGCCGTGTGGTACAGCGATATTTCCATGCGTGGCAAAGACGCTCTACAAAAGGTTGTGGCAACGGCACAGAGGATCATAGGACGTGATTTACCATCAGTCAGTGAGATTCACACCATCTGCTGGCGCAATAAAGCCCGATCCGTCATTCAGGATCCCAACCATCCCGGCCACAAACTGTTCTCCCCCTGCAGTCTGGCAAGCGGTACTACACTATTAAAGCTCCACTAGACTCAATTACACCTTCTACCCTACTGCTGTGTGCATCCTTATCAGCCAACTGCAGTGCCTCAGACTCAATGCAGGTCTGCACTATGCACTTTTGAATTTGGCTGAACATGTGTTCTTGTTCACTACCATGTGTTTATTGTTCTCTACCATGTATTTATTGTTTGTTCATACCACCGCTATTTCTTATGTACCGTTTTGTAGTGTACTGTCTTCATTGTGTGCTGTTGCCTGTCGTACGGTGTCGTCTGCTGTTCTGTGCGTGTCCTGAGAGATCAGTGCGAATCCGAATTCCAGTGTACGCATGTACATATTAATTCCCCTACCCTGCTCTCGGTTCAGGGTTAAATAGTCATTTCCGATCCCATTTGACCTTTAAAGAGCCACAGTAAAATTCAGGCAAGACCTGAATTAGCACGACCATATCATTTTCATTCCAGTTTTTTGTGTTCTTTGATTGTTCGGTTTGGCCGTGGGCTTTAATCTAGGGGTCTCCAGCCCTGGTCCCTGGAGGACCAAGACACCTACCTCCCGTGTTTTCTTCTAGTCAAGGCCTGTGCTGCTTTGGTGGGAAAAAAAATTGCAAAAAAAAACAACCAACATTTTTAGTTCAGAACTGCAGATTTTGAGTTGATTATGAAACACAGTAGTTAATAGGCATCCTCCTACGAGCTTAAGAACTATAGACTTCAGCCCGACCCTGTCGTTAAAGAGCTCAGTTGTGGAGCTGACAGCTCAGCTGGAACAGTAACTAGTAGGTATGTGGGTCCCCGTGCCCAGGATTGGAAACCACTCTTTTCATCAACTGCAGAATCATGTTCTTAC